AACAAATACAAGGTCTAATCTAGACGGTACTTGGGCGTCCATGTACCTAGTGGGGGGGCAATGAACTGATGCAAATATACTTGGAGCGTAAGCTCAAGCAAATCAACTCCGAATGTGCCTGACGCTGAGTCGCAAGGGAGATCTGCCCAGCAAACCTCTGGGTGGTTGAAGTTGCCCATACCAAACATTTCTTTGCGGACTGGGAACGATTGAATTCAAGTACTTCCTTGGCTACGCTCTCAGTGCCTTTATACACAATTAAAACTGTAACCTGAGCCGAGGATGTGCTACGAGCAGCCGACAGAATTTCAACAGTTTTGTCTGCTGACTGAAATTAGCAAGTCTTCAAAACGTCAAACCTACAGCTCACACAGCTTACATCTTCTCCTGCGACACAAGGCCAGAACAATTGGTCATTATGAGCTCATCCGTCAGCATTGACCGCTCAATTAGCCGTGATTTCTTATATTTCTAAGCAATTTTACTACATACCTAGGGGATCTGCGATTCTTTCTTCGGAACCATATTCTATCCTTCAAGACTTCAACAACAATTCAACTTATTTCAATGTATATCCCTCTGAGACTTCACATGGCTCTGCAGAGGATAAACACATCATATTCAAAAAGAATGTTTAGTTCCCGACCTACCAATCGGGCACAGGACAGGACTCAGGAACGCAATAGGCACCCGGCCATCGCATCAGCCGGCAGAAAAATGGGACGCAACCTGACTGCGAATAACCGAGCAAACAAACGTTCAACCAGAAACATAGCCATTTACAAATTGCCATTCAATGGATTTGCGGCAGTGTTTCAGGACGTGGTGGGTTTTCGCCTGGCAAGCGAACTCCCTATAAAAAGCCACAAATATCCGTTTAACAACACTGCAACTTGGCGAATGTGACTCGCCACCGAATAACGTCAGAGCCCATATCTTTACACTGGCAGGTCAACTAGCGTCACCATTCTAGAAAGGTTCATTACACTAGAACTTCTACATCTGCATATACTGTCATCTTCTTGCTTTCTACGACATCACCGTTGACCTTTGCGTTACTTGTGCACGAACTAACAGCATTGTCATAACTCTCTTGAGCGTGCTTTTCAATTATCTTTCAATGGATCATTCAGGGTTCTCAATCTATTATTAGCCGAGGTCCTGATTTCACGACAGCCAAATTTTTATTTCGCATTTCACCATTGTACAGTTGCAATCATGGACATATGAACAATTTTCTACTGTCGCTGTTACAGTTACTATAAAATGTTTGCACAGTTGTACATATCCGAACATGCCTCCATGGGCTTGCCTCGCAGAGTCGAGAATAAAATAGTTATTTATTTATTTATATAGAGCGATGCCCCCTCTCTGCCGGCCAGCGGAGCATATTGACAGGTAATAGTCAGATCAAGGACCATGATGGCGCTGTGGCGCGCAAAAACTGTTGCGTCAAGATACAAGTGGGGGGTAAATTTGCCATGTAGTGATCCATGAGCACAGGAGCCCAAACAAGGTTTAGTGCAATCAATGACCATTACGAAGCCGGGATGATCTGTACTGCACTAAAGCATTCTTCATAGTAAAATCAGTTGCACAGGTTGGATGTAGGAGGCTGAGGACTGCGTCAGTGTGAAATGTATAGCTGTGACTTTATTTTGTGGCGAGTCACATCCGCCACGTTGCAGTGTTGTTAAGCGGACATTTGTGGCTTTTATAGGGAGAACGCTTGCCAGGCGAAAACCCACCACGTCCTGGAACACTGTCGTAGCTTCCGTTGAACTGTAGTGCTAGTCGGCTATGCATCGTATAGACCGATTTTGCACTCTATTATTCGCAGTCGGTTGAAAGCCAAAATTCTTCCTTCGTTGGCCGAATGGCTTAGTAATGATCCGGCAGTAGTCGTTGAAGCCGGTCAATGATGTAAAAGAGTCGCAGAGTCGAATGATATTGATGCAGGTGAGTAAACACATTGTTAATAGAGGCCGGCTTTTTCTATTATATTGTCCGGCTCGCAACCCGTGTCCAGCTATCCATGCTGGACTTGTCATAGGGACGGTGAGTGCAGTTGTTTCTTGTGTCTGAATATGTCCATAACAGGAAAAAATGCTATTCTCCGCAAAGTGGACTAGTAATTCCTTCAAATGTAAGTGTAAGTGTCTCCATGGCCAAGTGAGAACTCCATGAAAGATCATCGGAAAAGCCGCTTATACGCGCGCAATGCTGTCCGTGAAATGACATCAGAAAAGCTCCAGGTGACTGGAGAATCGGAATGTTTGAGGCAGTGAAGGTAATCACGCCAGAATTGTCTGTCTTCGGTTGTGGAACAGTGGATCCATGTAAATACATTATTCCAGGTGAGTAAATTGTTCTACTGTGAGTACGAGGCGAGCTAAACCCATTTGTTTAGACCCCGTGGTGGTAGCTTCTCCAGAATGGCGGAAAGAGCTCCATTTGGAACGATGTGTGGGTTCTTCATCTCCCGGAGAAAAGATCAAGCATGTAAACCAGCTGGCTATTGAGGGTGGGTCGACCAGTCCCAGTGGATAAACCTTCTTGTTTTGGCGGATGTATCTGTGGAAATCTCGGGAGAAAACGGGCAACGGACAAGAGGCAGCCAAACAGAAAGACAGCAATGAAGCAAGAAGCACAAACACAGACTGGTGGCGCGCAACGGTGCCTATGATACATTAAAATTTATGTAATTTTGTTTAGTATACATGATTTGCAAGCGCGTTCTTTACATCACGTCGCTGGTGTGACTCAGACTACAACTACTAGGTAGAAAGAAGGATCTGCACGCGCAGGGTCAAGAGACGGATATAACAAAGCGTGTTGACAAAGTTAAGCGATTAATATGATTGTTGGAGAGTAACAGGTAAACCGATGATGATGACAGCAGTCCGAATGCGAGCGGCATCTTAGGTGAAACTAAGGACAACTAGGTTGAGACCGAATGCGGGAGCAACATAGGTAAAGCAACGTTCCAAGAAGAAAAGGAAATTTAAAGAATCAGCTATGAGCGGAAGAATGCGGACGGCAGTGCGAAGAGTAACTCGTGAGAGCAATTAGGAGACGATAGTCAGGATGAAAAAGGTTTACTACTAAAGTGTGGTGAAGCCAAGGACGCTCTCGTGCGAAGTATGAATCGATCAGTCCTGAAAAATCACCGGTAATATCCCGGTAGTCTGAGAGAACTCTGAGAGCCGGAGACCGAACAGACGAGACTTGAATAGTCGACACATCCTTAGGCCTCGTAGTAGTCCCAGAGCATTTCACTGATCAGATGATGACAAAGAAGGGCATGGCACTAAGCGTCGGTCATCCGATTGAAGGATAGAGGGTACAGGTTACTGATGGAAGTGCCTATATTAATAAAGGGTAAACAAGTCTAGCGGGCTGTCAATGTAAGCAAGACATAGTTTTGAGTCTACAGAGATTAGATCGGTATATCTTGCTAGTCTGGAAAAGGTCAAAGGAGCATACCGGTCAGATGAGACTAGGTTATTACAGGGCACTGAGAGTTGGCAGTCCGATTAGAGAAGAAATGATAGTAGAGAACGCCATAAGGAGAGGAGACGGTCCGGATAGAGAGAGGTTTACTTATAAGGTGTGGAAAAGTCCATGGGCTCGAGAGGTAATGGGGACAGAGCGTTCGGACTTCTCATCAAATGCCGGTAACGTCACAGCAGTCTGAATGAATTCGGAGAGCAGGGGACCGATCAGACGAGACTGGATTAGTCGGCACATTGAGAGTAAGATCGAAACAGTTAAGGTGGGAAGAATAAATAAAGAGTCAGCGGAGACGGATAGGTTTGGGATGCAAGAGGCTACATGAATATAAGGTATGCAAGTCAGGCAGGCTCGCAATGTGAGAGAAGTTGTGTGTTGGGTGATAACAGAGCCTAAAGACTACATTTCGCTAGTTAGGAAGCAGTCAAAGAGAGATAATAGGGCAGGGCTCTGAGAGCTCGCTATGCGGATGAAGGAAGATATAAGACAGGCCGCAATAAGGAAAGGACAGAGTCGAGAGTTTACGTTTACGGATAAGAAATGCGACAGGCGACGTGGCTCTCGAGGTAATGGTGACAGAGCTTTCAGTTTCCGAGATGCGGCAGCGTCGCAGAAGTAGGAGAAGAGACCGACTGCGAGGTGACTGGCGG